GCCCCAGAATTTTGGATTCAGTATTTCTAAGGCTGGACCCAAGAATATGCCTTTTTAACAAGCTCCCAGGTGATGCTTTTGCTGCCTGTCCACAGACCATACATTGAGTGGCTCTGTTCTAGAGCTTTGCTACTCAGTGTGTAGTCCATGGAGCAGGGGTCTAGGCATCATCCAGGAGCTCGTTAGATATTAAAAATCTCAAGCCTGTCTCAGACCTGTTATACCAGCATCCATGTTTTTAAAAGGGCTCTACGAAATTTATATGCACACCAAAGATTGAAAGGCACTAACACGTAGAGGGTACAGATGTGCAGCCTCTGAGCCAAATTTAGCTGGCAGATGTATATTACCTGGCTTGCACAGTATTTTTTAAAATTTAGAATTAATTTACACTTAAAAATTGGGATTTTTGACTTCTCTTGAAAAATTGGAGGATCTAGCAATACTGGGCCTCCATTCTCACATGATGACACCTGGAGACAGAATAGACATGCTCCAAGCTGCTGCAGAACTACTTCGTTCACTAATGATGTCTGCATGGCCTCTGCTGGCATTGATGTTTGCAGCTCCTAGTTCATGCCCTCACCTCTCCACTCCCTCCCCGGCTGAGATGACTGCTCCCAAGCGTTTTATCAAGAGCTGCCCATTTTATCTCTTTGTACCTCAATCTATTCATCTGTAAAATGGATTGATAGCACCTATTCAGGGTTCTGATCAAGATTAAATGGAGGGGGAGATCATGCTTTAAGCTCTAAACCTCTGTTTTACACACGAGTTGTTGCTATACCCAGAGTTTCTCCAAGTATGTCCCTGGACCAGCAGCACTAATGTCACCTGGGAACTTGGTAGAAATACAAACCTTCAGGCCCCACTCAACACCTAAATGCTTGATGAATTGCAGGTATTTCAGGGGAGAGTGGAATTTTGCCTGGATTTCACCCGGATCAAAAGCCCATCACGAGCTCCATAATTTACGTGGAGAAAGTTCCATCAAGACTCATGGGTGGGGGCTGGCCCTGTGGGGTAGCGGTTAAGTGCACGTGCTCTGCTGCTGGTGGCCTAGGTTTGGATCCCGGGCACGCACCAACTTACTGCTTGTCAGGCCATGCTATGGCGGTGTCCTATATAAAGGAGAGGAAGATAGGCATGGATGTTAGCCCAGGGCCAGTCTTCTTCAGCAAAAAGAGGAGGATTGGCATAGATGTTAGCTCATGGCTGATCTTCCTCACACACAAAAAAAAGACTCATGGGTGGCTGCAGTTTTGCAGGTGAGAGAGACCAAGGGAAAAGGTTAATATGTGTAAGATGGAGCTTCCACAGCTTCTTTCCTCTGGAATCCCCGACACCCCCACCTGTGGGCTCACCTGTGCTCCCATCCTGAGCCAATGAGCTGGGCTGAGACTTGGTGTCTGGATAACCTACCCTGAGCCTGGGCATTCACAGGTTCATAAGACAGACTGCTTCTACTTTCACCACATTGGCCCAATCCAGATAAAGCATCTTCTGCCTCAGTTTCCCTAGCAGGCACTTGAGATCAGATTGGACAGATCCACAGCCAATGCTGTTGCCACCTGCCTGTACTGACTTTGGGTCCTGCTTGCTGCCTGGGCTCCCCTGATTTCACCATCTCCACTGGATTGGGCTCCTCAGATCATGACATTTCCTCAACCTAGCCTGAACCTACCGCCCCATTTTAGACATTGTATATTTGGGATGGGGCCAGCCCTACAGTGAGGTCAGTTTCCTCAACCCTTGCCTCTCTCCTTGTCTACAATGGCTGAATTCCTGGAGTCCCAAGATGCCTATGACCTGAGTCTGCCTGAGTAACAGCAGAGAATTGGGGTCATATGGCCTTCAGGGGGAAAACTGTGAAGTGACCACACACTATTCTTAAGGCAAGAAAAGTGACTGTACAGAAAGTTCACACCAAAAATGTCTTTTTCTTCGTTGGGAGTAGAACATACATAGAAACAGCGGTGAAAGGGAAGGCAGAGAAAATATTTTCCTAACGGTGATGATAGATATATATTGGGCTGAATTACAGAAGGATTCCTTAGGAACTGTTGCTCTGACACTTTTTAAAGAGTGAGTCAGCAAGAATGACTCAGCCATCTGGGATTCATTAGGTTTAATACTGACAAAAATAGGGTTGGACTACATAATCTTTCAGAATTACTTCTAAGCAGAGGAGTCAGTCAATAATGATAACAATAATATAATAATAACAGCAGTATCATCTTTTGAGTGACAGACACTCTTCTAGGTTGTTACTGTACATTGTCTCAGGAGTCGGCTAACTTCTGCTGTAAAGGGCCAGATAGTAAATGTTTTAGGTTTTGTGGGCTACATGGTCTCAGTCGCAAGAACTCAAGTCTGCCCTGGTGGCACAAAAGCAGCCATAGACAATAAGTAGACAAATATGTGTGCCTGTGTTCTAATAACACTTTATTTACAAATACAGATTTGGCACACAAGCTATATTTGCTAACCCCTGCATTATCTCATTGACCCTCATGATACTGTGAAGTAGGTACTATTACTATTCCCCATTATACAGATAAAGAAACTGACTCTCAGAGAGACGAAGTAACTTGCATGAGATCTCCGAGCCGTAAGTGGCAGATTCAGGATTCCAGCTCAGGATTTCCTACACTATTGTGTCTGGGTGAATTCTTTCATTCCCAGAGTAGTTTCGTTGTTCTGGCTTCTCATGTCTCAGATTCAGTTCTTCAATTATTTAACAATTATTGGGCAGCCTCAACAGACCTACCGTGGTACATCATCTCATTTAACTATCAGAACAGCTGCAAGAGGTAGGTATTGTTTTCCCCATTTAGAGCCTGAAGTTCCCAGAGGATAAGGCAGGATTCTCAAGGTCCAGCCTTAGTGAGAAGCTGAGCTTGGAGTCAGACTCGGGTCTCTCTGAGTCTAAGTTCAGTGAGCTTCCCTCCAGATCGGTTGCCTCCAGATTTTAAAAATCTTTCACAATTTTTGAATTATCAAATTGTACCTGCCTATTGTACAGGAATTGGAATGATCATAAAGATAAAGATACCAACAAAGACTCACTCATGATCCACCATCCCCAAATAACCTCTGCTACTACTCTGAGGCTTTTTCCCATCTTGATCCCTGCTCATTCTCCCACACACTTACATACTAAATGAAATATTTTATATATTTGTTACTTATCACGTAAGATTGGGAGCATTTTCTTGTGTTATAAAATTTTAATAAAATCACCATTTTAATGATTGCATATTTTTCCATCATAGGATATAACATAATTTTTAACAACTTAGATACTTTCTATTTTTTTTATCATAAATGCTTTGATTACATTGTTGTACATCAATCTTTGTCTGAATCGCCAGTTGTTTTCCCAGGGATAAATTCCTAGAAGGAGAATTATTGCTCCAAAGGGGATTATTTTAAAGTTCTTTATACATTATTTCAGATTGGATTTTTTAGAAGTTTGTGCGAATTTCCATTCTCCTCAGTAGGTCAGATATACCTTGCCCCAAATCAACAATAAATTTTTTTAATTAGATGATTTTGTGGGTTAAAATGTTACAGTTTTACTTTGATTTTTATTAAGCAGTAGGGTTTTGGGGTTTCTTATTGATTTGTCAGAGTTATTTATATATTAAGGACATTAGTAGTTCTTTTTCTGGCAAATATTACTCCCAGGTTTTTATTTGCCTTTAAAATGAAAATAAATTCATCTCTATTTACTCATCATCTTATTAACAGCAGGTACTCAGATCATTAGCATTCAATACATTCAGCAGCAAGAGTAGTAGCAACAACAAATGCTTCTTCTATGAGCAGAATTTGCCAGGTGGTTGGAAATCACAAGCAGAGAGGCTTAGCTGCAACTCCCATATCTCTAGTACAGACTGCAAACTACTGGGCTGTGCTTTCACGCATGTGACTCCAGGGTAGAAGTCAGCCCAGATAGGAGGCAGCCAGGAGATACAGAGAGGAGCTTTGAGGCTGATTATAAGCACTGAGCAAGGGGTGGCCTTTTTCTATGAACAGCCACAGGCACTGGACACCTCACCATTCTTTCAAATCAGTACAAGGAGGTGAAAAACAGTGTCATGAAAACTTTATTTAGAAGACTATGAAATTGAAGCCTGGCAAGAACTTCATTTTCAAACTTTTTGGTGAATTTAGAGGAAAGAAAAATGCTTTGAGGCGTGACATTTTCTCACCTCAATCCTCAAGCATACTTCATTTTGAGGAAAAAAATTAATAATAATAATAATACCAATAATCCTTTGTGGGAGATCAAAATTGGCCACCCTGAAATATGTCTCTTCACCTTGATTATTTTCTCTGGCAGACATTTGACCTCCCCCAAACTGCCTAAAGAATTTAACATAGAAGACCTGTTTTAGGAAGAAGCCAATACCATATGATGGCTGTAATATAATGTAAAATAGATGCTACAATAGGAAAGGCACCAATAAGCCCATTCTTACCAAAGTTCTATTTTACCAAACATTTACATTTGTAAAGGTAGCTCCCTCTGTGTACTGGGAAGAGGGAGGGATAATCTTATCTCTGGAAACTCTTATCAGGACAGAAGGAGAGGACTTAAATCTACATACTCTTGATTACTATAATTTCTGTCTCTCCGGCCACATTCTCTATAGGTGGCCCTACAAAGAACTGTCTGACAAACATCTACATTTCCCTCTCCATGTGAATTGTCTTCTTCCCCTCTTAAATCCCAAACCACTACCCGCCCCCCAACATCCTCCTTTGTCTAACTGAATATGCTATTTAAGGTGAAAACCTTTGCCATTTGTTGAGAAACTCAGTTTCCCTGGTTTCTCCCATGTATACATGTTATTAAACTTGGTATTATTTTCTCCTGCTAACCTGTCTTTTTAATTATTTGGCCAGCCATAAGAACCTTAAGGGAGAGGGTGGAGGGGGATTCTCCCTCTTCCCCAACACCTTCATGTCAAGTAAATCCAGCTCAGCTGCACCTTGTCTGTAATGCTTTCCTGCCTCCACCACCAGTGAGTTCATCCACTTCTTTGTGCCACAACCGTACCTGGAGTAGACATCCACTACAGCACTTATGCTGCACTGTGACTCTTTGTCTAGGCTCCACCTTCCCCACTGACCTCTGAGTTCCACAAGGACAGTGTCTGACCTCTGTGTCTATCTTGGGACAGGTTTACATTCTGGACGAAAGGGACATACATAATTAGCATGGCTCTCTCTACAGCCTCATCTGCCAGATAAATAAAGAGACCCTCTAAAAAATATAAGTAGAATAAGTTAAGAGGAAAATGGGCAAGGAGATTAATAGACAGGAAAAAAATACTAGGTGATGGACCATGTACATTTTCAACTTTATTAGGTAATACCAAGTGAAATTTCTTTATTGGAGGCAAGAAGAAAAAAAAAGACAGAGGCAAATACAAATATAAATTAGATGTAGTTAGGAGAGATTTTGAGAAAATTCACACTGGAGGGACTTAGTCACCACAAAATATGATTTTGCAGAGTTTGGCAGTAGGGATGGAATATAGGCCTTGATCAGAGTGGAACAGATGTGAAGTCCTTTAAGAATATGTTATGTAGTCAAGCAGTGAAGCATCGAGGACGTTAAAGCCATCAAAGGGCCAAGCACATAAAGAGCAAATCACTCCTGTGATTTTATTCAGCCTTACCTGACATTCCAGATATTGAAGAGGGTAAAGAGTGGCACAGCGGAGGATGGGAAGGCAGGGGTAATGGAAGTTCATGGAGGCAAGGGCATCAGGAATGCTCATGAGAACCAGCAAAGTGGCTGATCACGGGCTGAAACAAGCAAGACCAGAGAGGTGTGAGCATGGAGCTCCTGAGCTGGCCAGACAACAGGTTCCAGGGGAGACTAGAGATGAAGAGGTGGAAGGAGAAGTCACTGTGACCAGTGGGGAGGATTTCAGAATTCACACTAGGTTTAGGGTAGGTCAACATCAGGGTTACATCTTCTCACTGGCCAATACCATGTTTTCATTCCATCTGATGGAAATGAAAGAAAAATTATGAGATACTAAAAGAAGAAAACTGGTTAAGGGGTTTATTAATCCCTTCACTGTCTATCAAATCCAATGCCAAGTACTATTTAGGTATTACAACCTCCACTATTCCTGTCTTCTGGCCACAGTCAGGACAGGCTTGGGCCCTAGAGCTGCTATGGTTCATCTGGTGACAGAGCAGGTTTCAGAGTGATTGTCCGGGTTTGCAGGGGAGCCTTTGTTCAGGGACAGCAGGGAGAGAAGGTCCCCTCCTCTTTTAATGGTGCTATCCAAACACAGGCTTCTTTGATCATGTTTGGAATCCTGAGAGATAAGATTCTCTATATATTTTATTATAAAAGGAAAACAAGAATGATTTTTAAACACATGAGGCTTTAAGCTGCAGATTTGCAGACACATTTTCCCCTTCTTGTGGCCTATCTTTATCCTTTCTGGGAGGAAACACACAGATCTGGGTGTTGCTTTCTTTAAAACAAGAGAAAAGAGTCAAAACAGTTAATCTCATATGCTTCCCGTGATAAGGAAAAATCAGCACAAGCTGGTGTAGGAGGAGATCTTGGTAGCAGAGCCGAAGTAGAGGATTTTCCCAATGGGTCCCATAATGATGCTCTTGGAGGAGGAGAGACTCAGAGTAATACAAAGATCCAAGGTGCAGCCAGGCCCATGAATAACCCAAGTGGTGTGGAGGTGATGGTCACATCCCATGAGGAGCTCAAGGAATCACAGCCAGAAGGTTAAGGATGGAGGTGGCCCTGAGGATAATGGCAGGAGAAGAGAGAAGAAGGAAAAAGGTACAGGGGCCAAAGGTCAAGGTTTGAAACTTCAGCAACTAGGATGATGGTGGTGCCATAAGCAGAAAAGATGCAGAAAGAAAAGCAATCCTACACTGTGAATAAGGAATTGGTGGAAGTAGTCTGCCTGAGGCTATAAAGAGATGGCTTCTTGAACTGCAGGTGAGAAGTTGAGGAAATCAGAGGTGACATGGCCACTTTAACCACTTTCAGATTTCAATCTAATGGACATCTCAGCTCCATCTTCTTCCTAAGACAGCACGCTAGCGCCTCTGTTTCCTTAATTGTGCATTTGGAAAATCAGATTCTAAGACAGCCATCATGGAGGCTGAGATGGATGGACTATATTAATGGTTCAACAGCTGTGAGAGCTTTGGTCTTGGGTACCCTCAAAGCCATTACTTGCCATTTCTTTCCTCCACCTCTGCACTTCCATTAGCACCATTAACAGTTGGAAAGATTGTAAATACCTTCATGTGAGTTACTGCACACCAGCCAAGTAGATGCTGAGAGGTCACCTCATTCACTCACCATCTACCAACTTTGGCTTCCAACTTTGTAGTGTGTGTGAATTGAGTTCATGCCTCAACAAAATTTCACAATTGTTACATCTCAGAGTCACTATCAACTAATCTAAATTTTAAGTATTGAATGTGTAAGTGACAAGGGACTGGTGTTTAAAAATATTTGCATATGAACTAATTTCTAAACCATTCTGTGGGTCTCATGCCATCAGTCAATGTCTCTATAGGCTCTTCAAAAGAGGAATTCACCATGTTTTATTAGTTTGTGCTATTACTGTGGCTCCCAAGGGGTTCCATTTGGGAGAAGAGACTTAATAATCATGGCTTTGAACTTTGAACTTTTTGAGAAATAAACTCAAAAAACTCCATCCTTAACCAAATTAGTTTCACTTCAAGGAAAGAACAGATCTGGGATTCACTTGTTGGTTCTTAAAGATTAACAGAGAGTGGCATTTATATTGAATTTTAGATTAAATGATTTTACTAAAGCCTCTAAAAAGTAGCCCTTTTCATCAGGTCAGACACACAGCTTTGCTTCAGCAATGGCAGCACAGCCTCCACGGTGCAGTGCTCGTGTGCGGCGCCTCTTTTTCTTCTCCCACTTCCACTTCCATGGGGAGAAGCTCTTCAGCGGCCTCAGAGGTGGGGCTACTGTGTGGCCAGTCCTGGGGGCACTACTCACATTAGAGTCCGTCCATGTGACTCTCCATCACAGGTAGAGGTGAAGGGATCAGAGACAGAAGTTGTTTTCAGTGATGTAAATACATAGATAAACCTCTTAAATAAAGGTTTAGGTCAGGTTTCCTAGAGACAGGGCCTGAGATGGTAATTCTGGTGAAAATGATTTACTGAGGAGTGCTCTCGGGGGCAGGGGGAAGCAAGAGAAGATAGGAGAAGAAAACTAAGCAAAGGTGTGGTCTCAGCTGGAGACTAACTTCAGCCTCATATCCCGGAAAGCTCTGGTCCACCTTGAGGCCAGGCAGCCGGCCTTTAGTACCCCAGTCAATCATTAGTCACTGACTGTCCCCTGTGGCCAGAAGTAACCTCCCAGGCAAGACAGCTCCATTTTAGCAATGAATGCTCACAGTGACTGAGGAATGAGTGTGCCACCAGTGAAGGGGACCCGGGCAGGGCACCAGCAGCATCCACTACACTTGAGGAAGGAAGGGAAGATTAGAAAAGCAGACAAGGCCTCTCTGAGCAAGCAGCTTATAAGCTGAGCCCAGAAGGATAAGTAAGAGTCAGGATAAATAAGAGATTTGGAGGAGAAGCAGGGAGAATGCTGTCCCAGGTGAAGGGCACAGCACATGCAATGGCCCTGGGGTAGAGAGGAGAATGTTGGCCTCCTTTTTTCTTCATTCAAGGTGCTCTGGCCTCCTGAGGGAAGGAGGGAGAGAGTGTAGGGTATTTCCATAAGGCAAATGCAGGGCAGGCAGAGAGTTCTGTACTGTGGGATTCTGTAAAGGACCCAACAGATTTGTGGAAGAAAATATTATGAGTATTTACTGGACCCTGAAGATTACTAATGTCACCTATTAGTGTCCTAATCTCTGTACAAAAAGCGTATTTATCTGCTTTAGGGAGATGAGTGAAGGTTCCTGTGCCTGAAATCTTTACAAATGCCCAGCAAGGCCAAGCTCTTGGTCTGCAAAGGTGTAGAGTCTTCTGTTCTCAATGGGGTAACATGGTCCATCCTGCCCAGCTATGACATCCTATGTGCCATCTCCTGAAGATTCATGGCACCCAAAACTCAGTGAAGATAGACAGACAGATAGATAGATAGACAGACAAATAGACAGACAGACAGAGAGGATCAGGGAGTTAAAATACATTTTTTGGCATATGAATTCTGAAATATCAAAACCTCCCTAGGAAACAAAACACCTGCAGTGTCCAGTGAAACGTAAGGCATTGGGGAGAATTAACCCTTGTTTCTCCTCAGTGTCCCAGCATGCGGTTTTTTGTTGAGCTGTACTCAACTCACTGGAACTAAGCAAGGCAAGCGGCTGCAAGGGCAATGGGTAGGAGAGAAGGACCTCAAGTTTGTTTGCAGATAAAGGGTCCTCAATACATATTTATTGGATAGTGAACAAAGATCCCACTGAGGCCTCTTCTCTCACCAGTCACTCTAAAGACAAGCTGAAAAGGAAGAAACAAAAAGGAAAAGGCAGGATAATGAAAGGAGGATAAGAGATTAAGATGAGCTTAGAGCTCCAAATTTAAACATGAGATAAGAGAATTTCAAATAAGATGGTGAATTGAGGACTGACATATACCAAGGTACTTAAAAATGTCAAAAAACACACAAAACACCCTGTATTTTAAAAAGAATTAATCCATAGTAATGCTAGAAAACTAGAATGGCAGGCAGCCTGAGGACATTTTGAAGAAACCCTAGAAGAGAGAAAGCAGATGGATCTGATTGATGAAAAGAGGTCATGAGAAGCTGTAGCCCAAAAGGCTGAAGAAAAGAGAGATCCTTCCCATAGGAGTCTTTTAAGAGCTCCAAGCTCCTAGTCTACAAACATAAAGGACGGGGTTGCAATACGGTACAAGCATTAAGGTAACTGATAGATTAAGTATAGGCCAAGTCCTCCCGCATGGTCTGTTTCCCTGACTTTACATCCTTCCCCACACTCTTTCTTTTGCTCACCCTACTCTAGCTTCATTGACCTTCTTTATGTCCCTTTAATATGTGAAGTATGTTCCCACCTCAATGCGTTTACGCTTGCTGTTTCCTCTGTCTGCAACAATCTATCTCTAGACCTTCACACGGTTGGCTCTTCCTTGTCATTCAGATCTTGGCTCAAGGTTTAGCTACTCAAAGACTTCTTCTCTGGTC